AGCATATATTTTTTTTTTTTCTAGTTTTGATTATCCGATATGTCATAATTTATGTATAATTGATGATTTAAAGATGAATAAATTAAAAAAATTGTTGTATAAATATCTATATACGTAATGAATGCGCAAATTCAATTAAAAAATTTATTGAATGACTAGAAAATTTTCACGTTAGACTGTTGTGAGTATTTTTTAATATAGGTTTTACGAAATGTTGACCCATTATTTATGTTTCATAGTTGAATTATAATTGATTGATGCGCAAAAAAGAGAGAGAGATAGCATTGGAAAAAAAACCTCATATAAAAAAGAGAAAATAAATGCAGGTGAGTGTCATAAATATAAATATGTATAAAATTTGACTATATAGTTGTAAAATTTATAAAGGTGATGAATGCCATGTACGATTTATCGAGCGTTGAAAGCGTCGAAATACGAATAAAAGAATCGAGGTTAAGAGAAACAAAGATGTAATAAGAAAAAATACGTTCTTTCTCCGTTTCTTCTATTCATAGAGATATTAAAGCGGCCTGTGCGACAGAAAAATGGTTTTAAACTGTGTGATTGTTAAAATTGTAAATAATCAAGGACTGTCACTATCACATTGTCATGAAAAATCTCACCCTGTACCAAACAGTGCACTATTAAATAAAATAAAAATCCTACTACATTTTAGATGACCAATATAAATTTATTTAATTTTAAAAACTTTTGTGTTCACATAATAAAACAATTAAAGTATAATTACTATAGTACGACATCATTGGTAAGTTATTTTTGTTTTTTATATTGATTATAATTATTGGAAAAACGACGGAAATTATCCTTTTTAAATTTGACTCTAATTGTCATATCTTGGCGATCAACCAGGGCGATCCCAAAGGTACCCAATGATCGTCCTGAAGGAAATACTCACAAATGAAAAAATCAACTATTTACTTACTAACAGGTACAAACTTCAAAAATTTATTTATTTTTGATCAAGCAAATTCAAAATATAGAGAATAGTGAATAAAAATTTGTATTTAAAAAATATAGTCAAGAACTACTTTGGTTGTAAATCAACGAAATTGATTGTACTTTCCTAATTTACGATCTCGAGCTCAATAATTTACCATCGCAACAACACGCCTCTTTTGGAAATGCTGTAGAATCCTTATACAAGAAAACACATTGGAAAATACATTTTCAGGGAAGCGAATCGATGGGTCAACGAAGCTTGGAAAATTTTTGGTTTACCATGATTTCAAAAATCGATTTGATTACATTGAATTTCAAATGACTACGAAAGGTCTTACTTTTTACATCGTATCTTTTTTTCGTTTCTTCTTATGCCTAGAATTGGTAAAAAAATGCTTTTTTAATATTAATTCAATTCTCATTTTCAATTTGATTAAACTACAATTGTTTACGACGTATCTGCCGTATTTCTAAGGCTACACAACATTCAAATAAAAAAACATACACAAGAAATATTCATTTATTACTGACGTTCCGGAACAGAATGAGATGTATTAAAAGGTTCTCTATTATAAAAAAAAAAAAATGTATCATCTCCATTAAATATGTCACTGCACATACAAAAAAAAAGGTAAAAAAGGTAAGTGAATAAAAAAAGCTGAAACTTTGAGCTCCTGTGATCACTAGTCGGATTTAGGACACGCGTCTGTCTCATCGGCCTTTTCTCTCTCACTGTAAAAAATATTGGAAATAAAATAAAAAGGACGAAAAACTCATAAGCTCGAGTGATGCGATAGGCGTGGCGTGCCTTTTCCAACTTTGATCTCCCAACATCCTTTTCTTTGTCTTTTGCCAGATGCAAGCCTCAGAACGGATGACAAATTATTATTTTTGTGATTGCTTTTTTTACTTTTACTGTCGATTTCGGCGTTTTACTATTTAAATTTTACTATGAGACAGAACATGCTCAAAGGAAAAGTTGAGTGAACGTAAATTTGTCAAATAATAGTTGGTTCGTATAAAAAACACACACACACATAAAATAAATGGATGGGAATATAACATCAAAAGCTTTTAAAAATGAAAAATTCGAGCGATACAAAGAAATAAACGAATGACCGTCAGCTGACATTGACCGATCAGAACATTATTTCAATGTTAGAAAAATATGATACCTACTCCATTAACAGCTTAGTTATTTCATTGGTAAATCCTGATAGTAAAATATTATATTTCATCACTTTAATACTATTTGTTAATGAAAAATAAAAAACAATATACCCCATGAATAATTTCAATCATTTGCTTAAAAACTCTAAGAGACCTAAACGAGTGCAAGTAAAGAGACGGAAAAGGTTCCAGATATCGATTTCAACTTTCCACCGATCCTTGGTTATGCAAAACTTTTATCACGACTTACGTAACCCACCGACATTTCGTAACTCCCCAAACGCCACCATAAATCGAAACACAGATTTCCTTCGTATAAATTTCAGCGAACGTCTCTTCCTTTATTTCCTTACCCCCCCACGTGAGCCTAGAAAATTTACTTGTATGCGTGCATAGGCGGAGACGTGTACGACCGGTTCCACAAAAATTCGCCATTTAGTTTAAAAATAATTTTTTTGAATAAACATTATTCTTTGTTTATCTTTGAAACTAGGTTTATTTTGTTTCTAACATTATTTAATACGAGGGAAAAATTGTGGTAAGAATAAAATCTGCATGCGGAAAAAAATGTTGGAACCTTGCGATTTTTTGCTAGCAAGGACGAGATAAAGCTAAACTATTCCAACAACTCGACTGTTATAATATAATAACCCCATCTGTATAGTTAAATAATTTCTTGGAACTCTCGTTACTCGGCTCCTGAGATCTCGAAAAGCTTAGTACAAGCGAGTGCCAGAACTGCACTTACACTCGAAAGTAAAATCATAACTTTCTCTCAATAGACTTAAGCAAAGCTTCAAATCCTTAAAATGCTCGATTCAAAGTGACCAACAAAAATATACCCATAGTCAACAAGCCAAGTTTCGAAAGGACAACAATCATGGGTAAGCCGAAATTATTCTGGTTGTGCAGGATCTGGGATACAGGAGGCTTTCCGCGACGATTATTCAAGCGCCTCGACTTAGCGCAAGTTCATGGTCCACTGCACGGCACCCGATTGTCCAGCAAATATATACACGGTCAGCTAACGCGAACAATAACTTTCCAGCCGAGGAGATTTCCCGTGGCTATACAACCGGTGCACCTTCGGTGGAGCACTTATCGACTGCACCAAATTCTCGCTGTGTATACCTTATACCTACATATATTCCTGTCCGCGGTTTATTTCCTGTCTCTCTCTCGTTCAATAGTTCCTTACAAGTGTATGTATGTACGCGTGTGCTTTGTAGCAGCGGCGGTTGTATCGAGAGAGTGATTGCGCCGCGCAAACATTCGCCCTTTTCCGAAGCTGTATTTGAATAAGCCGCTGAGTAAAGAGGCTGCAAGGAGTCACGGGGAAGATTGACTGTGTTAAATCCCGGGAAATTTCGTATTCCAAACGGCAAATATCCTCAGAGGACGGGAAATTGGCACAAAATCTACCACCTGTATACATTATATATACGGGCAACCCCCTGTTTTTGTCCTCGGCTGTAATTAATGCTTTCACTTTTGTCAGCTAATATAATCGCGCAAAATTTCAATGCATAAAGGTCAACACCGTACCATTGTTTGTTTAACTCTATTTTCTCTCGATTAAATTCAATCCAAATGCAGCAACAATAACGTACAGTTATCTCGTTGTTTTGTCTTTTGCATTTCTTTTGCAAACTATTGTATTACATGCATTGTATGGTTGAATCAAGCAACAGCCCCCACGTAACTCTCGCTCTCTATGTGCACACTGTGGGACAACCGGAAAATTATTTAATCACGATTACGTGCAGCTGTATCGTGTACGGGGGGGGGGGGGAGCTACCAAAATCTACAAAAGTTTGGGAACAGTGGAGGAGAATGTCTGCTCGCGACTTCTTGACGAGGTGCTCGAACCCAAGATGGAAAAATATGTAAAAAACCCCGCATCTGCTCTAGGACGCAGCTTGAAATTTCCGTAGCTCCCGGCGATGCAAAAAGTCGCTCGCTCCTGCAACCAGTGCGCGCTATATCGCCAAAAAAAAAAAAAAAAATCGTGCGACGAAACGTCTGTCTGGTGAGTATAGCCTAGAGGTTGCGGTATAGAGCCGAGCTGCGGCAGCTGTTTGGGGAGTCAATTTTACGGCTAGGCGCGGAAATGTTATCGTTTTCGATGTTTCGATTGACGAGTGAAAAAGTGAGGAAAATGCCTCGTGAAAAGTACTCGAGCACAATAAATTATTGTACTGTTGAAACTTTTTATTGAAATTTTAATGCACTGCTCAAATGTTTTGGTGTAATTGCCATTATTTTTCTATCATTTTTCTCCATTTTTCAATTTACGGTCCAGGGTGTCGAGCTTTTCACTAGATATTATACTACCTTCCTTTTTCTAAAAGAAAAGCGCTGGTTAGATTTTTTACTTCAAACTTTTCACGTGCTCACCTACATTTTCCATCATTTTCATTAACTTTGAAGCTGCTTCACAGGAAAAAAAGCACATGTTCCATGAGAGAATAACATTGCACTTAAACTTTTTCCCTGGGACGGTAGAAGTGCCTAAGATTTAAATACCTTAGCCAGCCTTCCCCTTTGTAAAAAAAAAAAAACAAAAAAAAAAACGTGCCTGTTAGATTTTTTCTTCTACTGGCATTATAAAAAAAACTACCCTTTCAGTATCGTGTCAAAATAAAAAAAAAATAAAAAAAAGCATACCTGACGACTTACATATTTATCAGTAACCAGATCGTTATATTAATTAATTTTGATTACATCTTCCTTACTTACAACATACTTATTACGAAAACTCATTATTATTATTATCACTTTCTACAAATTTTAATAAACTAAAACTGTTAATAAACAAAAACAAAAAAAACAAAAAACAATAATAATAATGATAATAATAATAAACTAAAACACTACTAGCAAATAACAGATGTAAGTAATTGTAAAGTTACGCGATGAAACGCGAAAACTGCAGGTCTCGCGCGCTCTCTCCTGGTGAGCTTTTTTATGCAAAAAGCCCGCTTCGGCGCTTCCGAGCTTAAAAAAAGGGGGCGCTACTATACACGGTCGCTTTCAGGGCGGCGTCTGCTAGCTGCCGCCCCTCCGCGTCATATATCGTGGTGTGTGACTGCACGCGCAGTCGCGCTAGACGCGTCTAACGCGCCGCCGTTTCCTTATTTCTTCGACTCCTCTCCTTCTCCTCATTTTATTTTCCTTCGTTGCTCTTCCTTCTCCTTATATTAAGTACATCCGTTATTTCTCCTCCGTTTCCTGTGCGCAAGTGTGTATACGGTGTAAGGTGTATAACACACACCCGTTGTGCGTGCATGCACCAGCAGAAGTAATAAAACCTATAGCGCGGGATCAGCTGGTTTGTGTCCCGTGCGTATAAATATATTATTATCAGCTGCACACCTGCGCCGTTAAACTTATCGTGTACGTTCATAAGAAAATTAAAACTGGCTCATTAATAAATTGTACAGAGCACTGTGAGGCGTGTGTGACACTCGAGGGTACCTGTCCAACGGCAATGTTTTCCCTACAAAGGAGTATTCTGTGAGTACCTTAACAATACAGCCAGGTAATGCCGCCTGCCTCTTCTGTGCTCCGAAATTTAATTTCAGTGCTGCAAAATATATATATATTGTATTATCTCTTTCGCCCACCTCTCGATTTACAGGCGTATATGTACGGGTGGGGGGAGGGATGATAATTGCACACCTGATATGGTTTTTCCTTTCCGTCTCATCGTTATCCTCGTGGTGTTCGAACGAAGCAGCTAAAGCTTGCAAGCGTAAAATTAAAAAAAAAAAAAAAAAAAAAAAATTACAAACGGAGAAAGTGTCAGAGCAGTGACATTCGGCCTGCCTATATACTTATTAGAGTTGCACACGTGAAAGACAAAAAAAAAGACATCAACAGAGAAACATGCACACACACCATCCCTGGCCTTCGCTCCACATTTAGATCGTCAGCTGCTCGTTATATACATATAATATAATAATGCCCGCACTCTCTTACGTATACCTATTATTCTTCTGCTTTGTCTCTCTATATACTCTCTCTTTTTTTTCATCTCTTTCTCTCTCTCGCTCTCTCGTCCTATATTTTGCCCCGCTCGCACATACACACACTTTTATTAGCAGTGGTGAACACCTTGGCGCTCCGAGAGAAAACGAGGTTAAGCTGTTTTGACCTCGTGCCATGTCTCTAATAATTATATGTCGATATGTAGGGGTGTGAAAAAGGACCGCGTCCATTTTTTCGTATCGGACCATCCTGGGACCGCAACCGGGCAGCCCCAAAGGACACCCGTCGATCGGTACACGCAAACGTTAACTTTTAATGTAAACATTGAAGGGACGTGGTTTTTTATTCACCCTCCGACAGTTGAATCATGTTATTCTTTCAACTTAATATTTATCCGATTTTTAACGCATACATTCTTTATTAAGAAAGGAAAGTAGGTAGGTAGGTCTGTAAAACTAAAACGATGTATAGAGACAAAGGGATTCGGGCACGCTTCAAGCATATATATACTTACGTAGATCGGTATATCGTCTCTGAAATCGAGCGAAATTTTTAATTTTGCAATTGTTGTAACAAATAGGTCAAGTAGCCCGATTTCATTGCACCCCCTGCTTAGTCCACGTTGCCGTGGTCATCGGCACAAACGGATATGAGTAACGAGGGATTTAAACCGGTCGATGACAGAACCTCGTGGCACGTGTCTCCTCGGCTCATCCATACGGTCGATACTTATGTGTGTGGCAAGAAATAAAGTAAAGGGGGATGATGAGAGAAACAACCCCCTATACTTATGGGCAAGTACATATAAGAACGCGAGCGCCGAAGGTCTTCGTGTGCTGCGGATCGATAGAACAAGTCGCGCGCCAGATACGAATTACGCACGCCCCCCGTGGGGTGTCTTTTTTTTCCTTCTGTATATCCTTCAATTTAAGTATTAGCGTATAAGTAGGTAAATCGACAATTCTGGCGAAGAAAGCGCTGTTTCAGGTTTGATAATTTTGGCGCAGAGCTATGAGCAAAATGAAAGTGTAAGAAACACGTGTCTTTGCACCTTTTTTCCACGTTGAATACAACAGCAGGTGTGATTCGTTAAAGTTGAAACAAAATTTTTTTGTGATAACACTTTATTCCACGAGCACGTCAAGGGAAACACTTTTAGTTGTTGAAAAACGCGTGATAACAATGGCAGATAAGAGCATTTGTCTTCTTATGTGACCTTTGCATGGTTTGGAAAAATCGATAATACGTTTCGAATTGTTCATTAACCTACTTGATGTGCGTATGATTTTTATCGTGAATCTCAAATCTCGTGAGAAAATTTTCATGCCGATGTAAGATAAGATAAGTATTGAATTATCTTCCATTTGCGGAGTTATATTGAAAAATTTAGGATAGCCCGACTATCGCTTTTCGACAATTACTCGCTCAAACAGGAGACCATATAATTCCCAAAAAAAAAAAAAACAATAATTACAATACTCTCTGTATTCGATACTATACAACAACAACCACATCACAAACCACAAAGCCATGCAAACTTAGTTATGTTAACATTGCATCGCGAGAGAGGCGTCCGAAGAATTTTTCCCGCGTCAAATAGTTTTCTGGATCGGAATTTTCCAAGGATAAAATGGGAAAAAGCATAATTGAAAGTTTTTGTATTCTGTTTACTTCGAAGCAAGTTATTTTACATATATTTAGAGATACCGCGCTTCACTTCCGTTTATAAGTTCACGGCTGTTTTGCAATCGCATCCGAAAACTTTTCACCCTGTAAATTTATCTCTGTGTCGTGCAAGGAGCTATTGTCTTATCACGTGGAAATTACTTATTAACTCGTGCTTTAACATTCACTATTAAGTTATAAGGTCTGTTGATATGTAAATGAAAAAATTCCAAATTTACCAAATTTAAAGATTTTTGTCAAGCACATCGTCATAGATACAACCCCAAGGGCAGATGCGAAAGTAAGATAAGACGTGAAAATCAATGGCCTATACGACTTCGACAATGCTATAATGGCGTTGGCACGTGCAAACGTTGGAAACGTCCTTGTGACAAAGTCGAAAATTCATTCATTGTTTCCTCTTTTACATAATGTTGAAAAAACGCTCGAGTTACTGTATTCTATTTTGAATGGTATTTATTTATTCAAAACTGTTTTCATTAAACTAAAACTACTTGATAGGTATATACCTGTCAAATTGAACAAAACAAAACAAAAAAAAAGATATTCAATAAAAGTTACTTAAAAATACACTCTCTAAGATAACACAAAATGTCGCAAAATGAAAAGGTAACAAACTTATTCGCTAAGAGTGCTTCGACAGTTCACGTTGGACGTTGCCGTAGAGTGTACCAAGCGAAAATTTTCCATAATGACCCGCAGTATGCAGCCTCTTTCTCTCTCTCTCTCTCGCTCAATCTCTCGAGTTTCCGGCTCCGTTCGAAAGCCAGCAATCATAATTCCAAGAAAGTCCATCTCTTTCTTTCTCTCTCTCTCTCTCTCTCTCTTTTTGAACTATGCGGGACGTTCCACATATTTCAAAGAGAAAGAGAGAAAGGGTACCCTTCGTGTGTACGATGTAATTTTGTTCATCGAATAACTCACGAAAACTCGCTTCGACCCCTACAATTTCAACTTCCTCGGGTACAGTCTACAATCATAAATAATAAAAATTTTTGCACAAAGACCGGACCGATTTAACACGTTTGCAAACATTTTGTAATGTATTTCCATTGAGTACATTAAAAGACGTATTTTTGGTCGAAAAAAAAAAAATAGAAACTTTAACTACACGCTTCAAACGTGTTGTTTTAGCACACGTGGATTTGGAGTGAGAGATGGGCCGAGCGCGCGATTACACGCCGTCAACGAGGTATTTTGAGATCCCAGAGCCTTTTATTATTTCGGGACCAACGCCTATACCCATGCACTGTTCTAAAGCACCGACTGAATATTATTATTTTCCGGGCTACGGGGTCGAGGCCTGGGAAAGCGGAAAACAGCATCGTACTCCATGGCTATAGTTTCAATGTGACCCAAATATGGGACTGTTAAATTAATTTTTTCATCAGCTCATATACGGTGTAAATTTAGATACCCGATGTGGTTACAAACGAGGATAGAGTCATATTGAGAGCGCAGGGAGAATAATATACAATAGCACGTAATTATAGTAGCGTGCGGTAAACGCGTGGTATATACCTGTATTCGCTGGTTACAGTAGCTATGGCCACGCAAAAACCGGATTGATCTACGCAGCGCTAACGAAACAGCTGTTCGATATGATCATCAGCTGTGCAGATATGAGTCAAGTAGAACGAGTTTCCGCTAATGTNGAGAGTCTTTTCATTCTCTAACCGATCACTGAGTTTAAAATTGAATGTCGAATGTTAATTGACGGTGCTAGGGAGGCTAGCGATTGCTGAGATTTTTTTTTTTTTTTTTTTTTTTTTTTTTTTTTTTTTTTTTTTCTATAGCATGTGTATAAGTGCACAAGTACGCACTTGAGAGTACATTCTTGCGATTAGATAATTTTAAACTGTTACGTGTCATTGTTATTGTTTTTAAGTTTTTTCCATATGCCAGTTTTTAGGATTTTTAAAAAATTAAAATTTCGACCAATCCACGAGAATCAGCGAGTTTCATACACTTTTAAACCCTCAGCTGAGATTATTTTTTTATTTGACTTATTATTTACGTACAACAATAAAATATTAATACACAGTTTTGGAAACAATACTGATGTTGAAAATTTCAACCAAATACAATTTTATAATAGACTCCACAATGATATTTATTATTTTTTAATTTTCGATTTCATCAATTTATTACTAATACTGAATAATAGTCGCTTAAAATACGAAAATCGATTAAATTCGATTCACGATTATAACGGTATCTCGTATGTTCCGTGATAATTTATCAGAGTTTTATAGTATAAAAAGTAGCCTTTAACAGATTTTCGTCCAAGTTAATAAGTGTACGAGCTTTCATTTTTACGTAACAACCTACTTAATGAGATAAGATTAGGTAAATAAAAAAATGATAACGTAAAGCGTGATTTATATCTATGTCAAATCTTTTGTTTGGTTTTATGCTCAAGGTCCAAAGGCACTGAAATACCTGTTAGTTAATCGAATAGTTACTCAATTGGTTCCTTGTTTTTTTTTTTTTAATTTCCAACCTACTAATATATTGTACATTTTATTTTTATCCAGTATTTATGTAATTACTTTTTACGACGTGACGGATAAATGCACAAAGTTTAAAAATAAAAAAAACACGAAAAAATTAGAAAAATGACTACTTTTTTCGATATTTACAAGTCTTATGTAACTTTTCTTTAATGTAAATTCGTTCCAATAATGTTTATAATTTACACCTCGGGGCTCATAAATAAATTTAAAAATAATTTACATTAAATAATACCACTAAAAAATTTGATGAATTGAAGCTTTGTCCTAATTAATTATTGAGTGCAGATGACTATTAAGTAATTATGTTATCATGGAGTTAAGGTGATTTTTTTGTAATCTAGATTATGTTGTCATGCTCAATAAATTTTTCTCGAAATTTTTAAAGACTCAACCAACTTGAACCACTCATTCCACAAGCCTTTCGAGCGTAAAATAATGAAGCAACTCTATATATGGATATTCACATTATCTTATGGATAACACCCATTCAGTATCATAGTAACACGGTAACCTTGACAAGTATCGAGTGACCATATACAGCTTTTATTCTACAACTTTTTGCATCACTTTATGGCACAGCTTTCGTAGAACTGTATCAAAATGCGATAAAATACCTACGTCATCCACCGAATATAAAAAGGCAAACTGCGCGTCACCTCCATGATGTATCACATTAATTATCGCCCCGAGTCTAGTATCATCATGATATAGTATTACCTTCTTCATGTTTCATGATTCCCTTTATATGTTTCCTCTCTGTAGAACGTGCGGGAGAAATGGTAGCGGACCGAGCGGCGCGTGGACTCGGGTACTGCCGGCTGCGACGTGCCGACATTACCCCCAACAACAATGCAGGGACTTACACGAGGTACAGGGTGATGTAGTGCCTATCAACATGGTCCAGGGCATCGGACATCTGCGCGATCCTCGTCTCAACAAGGTTTTATATCTCCCATTGATTAATTAATATAATGAGTGGAGTAATTAAGTCCATGATGACTTTTGGCGGAAATCGATGCTAATTGAATTAATTAATTTATCGAGTACGGCCAAGTGTGGAGACGTGTTTCTGTTCTCATGCATTTTTAAGCTGTTGTTGTTTTTTCTTTTTTTTTTTTTTTTTTGNTAGTTCAAATACACGACGAAGAACCGAAGAGAGTATTTACTAATAAATATTTACTATTATAATTACGACCGCGCAGTATGTTTTGAATTTTGGTACTTACGTTTTTCAGATTGAATATTCGGTAAATGTGAACAATTTATCTCCAATATCATAACGTACGTTAATACTTATTGAGTGTTGAATAAAAATCACAAGTTAAATGGTAAATCCGGGAGAAACAAATCTTCACTGTTCAAGTAGACTTAACTTAAACATAACTCAAATGAGATGAAAAAACTTAAAAAATTGATTAAATTATTAAAATAAAACAAAACCTGGATTGTGTGATTCTTGTCGATAATGGAAAAAAAAGTTAAAAAAAAAAAAAAAGAAAAAAAAAAGACTTGTATTATAAATGTTCAATCTTCTTGAAAAATCTTTACAATTTTCTATAAAAATCTTCGTTGTGTCGCGCTTCAGTTGAAATGTATTCTTTGTGCATACCGTTGGCTCTGCTGTTAAAATAAATAAATAAAGAAGTTGTCCAATGCTGCAAAAATGTGTACGTGATAAAAAAAAAATAGACAAACAAAAAAATGTAATTGACACGTGCTATACAAATCGTCGACCGACTGATAGAAGATCACACGAGAGCCAGCAATTGTGATTTCACGAAGAATAAATAAAAATAATAAAAGCAAGCAACAATAATTAAATACTTACAACAATTTACGACAACAGTATTTTTCGTATATATACGCATGTGTATATATACACATTTATATTTACATTTTACAAAGCAAAGCTGTGTAAACTCGTGTATTGAATTTTACAACCGACGCAAAGCAGAGAGGCTTTTGTTAACATGTGGTTCCTACGAGTACGCGAAAAAAAATATAGAAAAATTTTAGTTAGCCAATTGTCAATTAGATATGAATTTCTATTTAATTGCTATGTCACAAATAGGAAATTTGATTTATTTAGCGAATTACTTGATTCTCTGGAAGGAAAAAAAAAAACTATAATGAACACTCGACGATGTAGCATTGTGTGTAATTTTAAAACGTTTGAAAGTACATCTACTCTTTGTAAATGTGAAGTCGATATTTTCTATTGTTGCGCTGTATCCTTCAGAGAATGGATAAATTAAAAAAATAGAAAAAAATATTGTAAGACAGAAAAATAAATATGAGACGTTAATCGTTCTTATAAATTCTTTTATTTGTATAAACACCATCAACATGCATCTGCATACTTTACAATATTAATTTTTTTCTTCAGCATCATCATTCATAATACTATGCTTTCAAGAGCCCAAATGATGACGAGGTTTCTGCAATATGCAAGAAAACCAAAAAGTAACAATCAGCAGTGTTTCATTTAATTCAGTCAACAGAACCCAGAATCCGACTTTGAACTGGGTAAATAATTTGTTTAGTATTTGACTAAGTAATCATAGACCCAACTAATATATAATTTACCTATATATTATTCTTTGTAAGAAAAGTAAAATATTTAAATCACATTTATCAAAACAGAATATTGTTGATCAAATCCTATATAACAATCAGACATGACGTAAAACTGTAGTCTCATTGGTCCTGCAAATAAATAATATAATTCTTGTTGTATTAAAAAAAACATAACTCTCAATCCAATCAAATCTAATCGCTCTCGAACGAACTAAGAATCAAAGAAACTCGAAATAAACTCACCAGGACATGATGGCGTCTTGAACTGCAGGTAATGCATCTTTCGTGGTCCATTGATACCAGCGACACGCTTAAGAGCCCACAACTCGCGATTTTCTACGTCTCCCAAGATCAGGAACCAGCCCTCGTCTTTAGGTCTATGGAAGCGCGGACAGTGTGCTCTTAATTGTGACTGTGAATGGTTTTTCCGCTTTGTGCCCACCACTAGCGTGTACTCGCTATCTCTGTGCAGCGATATGTATTTTTTATCAGCACTTTCTGCTATTTCGATTTTCTTTTCTTTCTCCGTAGATTCTAGATCGCCTTGTAAGGCCAGGTCTATACACAGTATTGGCATTTCTTTTGCGACTTGGTGGATCTGTAAGTTAATAATTTATTTCCTCAATCAATAAATAGATAATGAATTTCATTCTTCGTTACTCACCTTATTTACTTGATCGTCGATAAACTCATGCAACAAATGGTTGGCCAAACGGCCGTAATTGTTGAAAACAGTCGCGCAAAACGCTGGCAAGCTCTTTGGAAAATCTGAGAACAGGTGCAGATGTTCTTTTTCGATGTATGGTAAAGTAATCAAGCTGGACTCGTCGATCCATCTAGCTTGCAGCACCATCTGCATCAAATGCATCACTCGAAGTGTCGAGGAGAGTAAGCCACGTTCCGCAACTACGTCAATCATAGCCTTGAAAGGTGAATTAAAAAAAAAAAAAATTTAATTACATAAATCATAAATTTTTAGGAAGTTTAATTCATCAGTATGCTTATTTACCTGTAATATTCTTATAGACTGATCGAGTACGGATTTTAAATCGGTATAATAATCAGCGCAAGGCAATGGTAGTCTCGAAAAGTGTGCTTGCAGCAATAAGAAAGTTTTTGTGTTTGATGAATCGTATGATAGTCGTTCAACTGGAAACCGGCACATTTTGGCTAGTTCCCTATTTGAAGAGAGAAAAAAAAAAAAAAAAAAAAAAAAAAAAAAAAAAAAGAACAAATTTACTCTGAATAATGAAGCCACTGACGAGAACAGTGCGAAGCTCGTTTGTCGAGCGTGAAAAAATAATGGAAAGAGATGGGCGAGGAGCCGAGCAAACAGTAAAGCCGGCGATTATAAAATTTTTAAAGGGCTTAGCCTTCACGCTGGAGGAGCGAATAGCACTGGGAATCCACGGGCTCCAGCCGCCGAGATTTAAGACCCAAGAGGAGCAGCTGGCTCTGTGCAAAGCTTCCGTAATGAAGTACACCGAAGACCTGAACCGCTACCTCTACCTCGTCGAGCTTCAGGTAAACGAGAGTGTGAATCCTTGATGGGATGATAAATATAAGTTCGTTCGTTAGATTGAGAGCCTTTCCAATATTAAACAACTCAAGCTTTTTTTTCCCCATTTTCCGTGTTTCCTCTTATGCGGAAGAATGGGTGTTTTAAATTATACGCAGGTATACTTGCACAGCAGATTTAACTGGGAAATAACGTTACGTGCGTGTTGAACACTCTCATGAACGGGAGTAAGTATACGAGTACTTATAATGGTTGTTTTTTTTTTTTTTTTTTTTATGCTCTTCGCAGCCAGTAATTTTTTTTTTTTTTTTTTTTTTTTTTCCCCCGACTGTACAGGAACGAAATGAGCGATTGTTCTTCCGATTGTTGAAAGAAAACATTGAGCAAATGATGCCGATCGTGTACACACCAACGGTTGGTCTTGCCTGTCAAAAGTTCGGGGTGATATATCGTCGCCCGCGGGGACTCTTCATCACCATCTACGACAAGGGACACATCTACGAGATCCTCAACAACTGGTACGTTGCCTATACAATTTTGCAAAAAAAATACAAACTCCCCCTCCTGAACTGTAAATAATTACATTCAATGTATATTTATCGTGTTTCGAAAAAATTTCATCCATTTTGGGATTCTCTTATCTAGAGTTTTTTTTTTTCTTTTGCATCAAATTAACACGAAATATTAATAAAAATGTGTTTATCTGCTTTTGCCGAGCGCGTGAATTCCGCGTGTTTTCCCAGTGTAGAGCCGAGACGGCCAAGGATAAATGACTATTTTTGCGCTCCGATGCGTACAAGCTAAATGTAAAAATATAATTGGCTATACGTACTTTCGACCACCATTTGGATGAACGCGCGTTGCTGGGCTACACCTGCAAATACTGTCTCGCGTGCGAGAATATTTTTTTGCAACGACACCATAATTAAAAATGTGATGGTATCTCTATAGAAACCAATCATCTCCGATTCTACCGATATACTTACCGATCTATTGGGGGAAAAAAAAAAATCACTACAGGCCCGAGCAAGCGGTGCGTGCCATCTGCGTGACGGACGGCGAACGGATCTTGGGGCTGGGCGACCTCGGTGCCTGCGGTATGGGCATTCCCGTGGGCAAGCTGGCCCTATACACGGCCCTGGCCGGCATAAAGCCACACCAGTGCCTGCCGATCACCATAGACGTGGGCACGAACAACGAGCAGCTGCGCAACGACCCGCACTACATCGGCCTGAACAAGCCGCGCACCGTCGGCCCCGAGTACGACGAGCTCCTCGACGAGTTCATGTCCGCGTGCGTGAAAAAGTACGGCCAAAACGTCCTCATACAGTTCGAGGACTTTGGCAACCACAACGCCTTCCGGTTCCTCGACAAGTACCGACACGCCTACTGCACCTTCAACGACGACATACAGGGCACCGCGGCGGTCGCTGTAGCCGGGATCATCGCCTCGCAGAGGCTCACCCGGAAACCCATGAGGGACAACAAGTTCGTCTTCCTGGGAGCCGGAGAGGTGAGCCCCCATTGTCACCCATCGATGTACCCAAATGTTTGTTTGGGTTGGCGATGAAAAAACGCCATTCACTGTATATGCGAATTTAGGCGGCAATCGGTATCGCGGATCTGTGCGTGCGAGCTATGGAGGCCGAGGGCTGCTCCAAGGAAGAGGCACGCAACAACATATGGATGCTGGACATCAACGGGCTGCTCACCACGACTCGGAAGACCGGTGACCTGGAGGGCCACAAGATTTTCTACGCCAAGGACGTGCCGCCGGTGAATACGCTCGCCGAGGTGGTCAAGAAAATTAAGCCGTCCATCCTGATTGGTGAGTCGGTGAAATTCATCATTTGCCAACAGCGCACGCATCGTGTGCTTGACTTTTTTTTTTTTTTTTTTTTTTTTTTGAGAAAATTGTTTATTGTCATTTATGTGTGTGTATCGTAACGCAGGCGCTTCGGCAGCGGCCAAGACTTTCACACCGGAGATCTTGCGAGAGATGGCCCAAAATAACGAGAGGCCATTGGTCTTTGCGCTGAGTAATCCGACGAGCAAAGCCGAGTGTACGGCCCAGGAGGCTTACGAGCACACCGAGGTAAATTTTATTCGTACGTGTAAAAAAAAAGGAGAGAAATTAAAATTAAAATGATTTTTTTTTTTATTACCAGGGCAGAGTTCTATTCTCGTCGGGCTCGCCTTTCGGCAACGTGAACTACAAGGGTAATATCTTCAAGCCGGGCCAAGGCAACAACGCGTACATATTCCCCGGCATAGCCCTCGGTGTGATAGCAACCGGCTGCCATCACATACCCGAGGACATGTTCCTGCTTTCCGCCCGCGAAGTCGCTAATCGCGTGACCGACGAGGACCTCGACCAAGGTAGCCTATACCCGCCCCTAAACGTCATACAAGAGTGTTCCATCGACATTGCCTGCAAGATCGCCGACTACGCCTACAGGCATGGTAATTAATGATCCACATGTATATATACACATATTGTATTCGAATTTTCATTGCGTTTTACGGAAAATTAATCGCGTGTACCGCACTTGATTCTTTGCACGCAGGAAACTTGGCCAGTGAGTATCCGGAACCAAAGGACAAGCGCTCGTTCATCATAAGCAAAATGTACGACTGCGACTACGACAGTCCCCTGGCCAACATGTACACGTGGCCCGAGGGCTTCAGCAATCCGCGCACCTTGCCCGAAAAGTGAGTACCTCACACTCGAGTGACATTTATTCGTAAAACTCGCTGCAACTGGGTGATGGCTGCAGGGTATACACCTTTCAATACCTATATCTGCACTTGAGAAACGAAAATCGATGTACAGTTTTGTAGATTTAGAAAACGCAGCGTAATTGGAGACAATACTCTAAACTTATATCAATGATGGCCCAATCACACGCATGCTATAAGTTTTTATCTTTAGTTGATCTAGCTGTAGTAATATTTTAATCGTCTTTCGCAGTAATTTTTCATTGTACCAGTGTGGTGTACACTTGATATTGAATGTTTTTAAGCTTGAGTAACCGCTTATTATTAACTCACACCAATTGACTTGTTCTGACGCTAATAAGCTTCAATGCCACCATAGAAACACCACAACTTGCTTTGAAAAAAAAAAAAAAAAAAATTGTTNAAGAGAAGTAGTTATACAGTCATATATTAAGAGTCTTACTTTGTAAGAAAATGTTGAAAAGAGCCACCGTTTTTATATAAATTGAAAAAAATACTTAACATGAACTAGATGAAAAAGGAAAATTAGAGTTTGAATAGAAAAAAATCCTAGAGGAAAAACTACAATCGGTCAAAGAAACTCAAAATAAAAATACAAATGAAATGGAAACTTTCAAAAAGAAAAACGAATCCTTACGAGTCTAAATGAAAAGTGTGAGCAAGAATGTAAAGAATTTGTGTTCTGACTATTGAAAAAAAAAAAAAAATTAATTAATTTTGAATCGCACCTATTGATTAATAAAGAACATAAGATAAGCTTACTCGTTGAGTAAATCTTCGTTGTGTCTGACGGGAAGCTCATCGTACTCGTGGGAGTTGCACATCACCCTTAAGCATTTTTCCAAAGAAAGATTGTCTACTAAATGTTCGTTAAACATAGCGATTGTCTGATGTGACAAGTAATAATATGAAGCGATTCTTCCTAAAGGAAGTGAACCTATGCACTGTTCCTCCTGTGGAAACATAAAAAATTGTCGTATGTTAATTTGTAGCTAATAGGAATGCAAGTGTTGAAAAAAACATAATTACCTCGTCATTATATATACATTGGGATTCAATGAGCAGCGTTAGGGTATCATCTACCAACTTTGACAGGTACGAATTAACAAACTCAGGTTCCATGCTATCGAGATTATAGTACTTGGGGTTCTTTAGTAATCTGCGGAAAAAGTAAGTCCACGTCAGATAATCCAAGAACTCTTGTTTCGTCTTGATGGTTCCGGCCACAACTTCAGCGTTGATGTGATCGGGCAATACTTCGAGCAAACTCGACTCTACGGGGAAAGGCTCGTACAAAAAGTGTTTGTAAAAGTTTTTCTTGACATCGTGAACGAGAACGACAGCGACACCAGAGCTATCGAACTGCGGCCGACCCGCGCGACCCATCATCTGCAATACGTCCGTAATGGGCATGTCCACGTATCGCTTCGTCTTGCCGTCGTAGTACTCGGTGCCCTTTATCACAACCAAATGAGCCGGGAAGTTAACACCCCAAGCCAGTGTCGCTGTTGCAACTAGGACTTGTATCCTGTTGTTGACAAACAGCTCTTCCACCGTTTGACGATCTCTTTCTTCAAGACCAGCATGATGTAGACCAATCCCGAATGCCAGCGTAAGCTTTAGATTCGCGTCCTTGATGTTGTCCAGGATATTATCCATCTCCCGTTCCGGCATATGAAGCCACTGCTTGGGATTGTCTTCAGCAGCTAGATAGGCAATGAGGTCTAGTGCAGTGAGCCGAGTCTGACGTCGCGACGAGACGAAGATGAGCGAGGGACTGTGAGGGGCGTGCTGTCGAATGGCAGCGAATGCCGGCTTATTCATCGTCGCCATACGTGGACAGTAGTGTTTGCCTGCAAATCCAGCTATGTGCACTTCGAGAGGTACCGGTCTTACTGATGGCCTAAAGTTGTACAAACCCATCTGCGTATGAATAACATTTTTTGTTTCATTTCATTGAATAATATATTACCAGTGTAAAATAGTACTCATGAAAATTATGTTTGACAAACCCTTTTTATTCCAAGCCAGTGACCCAAGTCAATAGCATTAGCCAGAGCCGTTGAAAGTCCGATGATTCTCAAAGTTTTTGACGTGTGCGAGGCGATAAAGTTTGTTCTCGAAACGATAACTTCGAGAACTGGTCCTCGATCTTCACCCAACAAGTGTATCTCGTCAATAATGATGAGAGCCACCTTCTGCACGTAATTTCTCGTCTGCCAACTTCTACTGATACCATCCCACTTTTCGGGCGTCGTGACGATCACATCTGACGTTGAGATTACTTTTATATCGGGCGTGACGTCGCCCGTCAACTCAACCACGCTCTTGCCCAGTAGTCCACCTAGTCGCTTGGTCCAGTCTTTCATTCGCTCTCTAACCAAAGCTTTCAACGGAGCGATGTAAACAACCTGAGGAAATTGTTAATAGTTTAACCACGAGGACCGATTATTTTATAAAACAAGACAGTTATTCTCCACGTACCTTTCTATCTGGTTCATTTTTGAACACTCTCATCATGGCTATCTCGGCAGCAATCGTTTTGCCTGAACCTGTGGGGGCTCCCAGAAGTACGTTGTGGTCTGTGTGATACAGACAGTGGAAAATTTGTGTCTGAATAGGATTAAAATGAGTAAACTTGTATAATTTCTGAAACTCTGAAGCATTTAACGCCGTGACTGGTAATGGCTGTAGTTCTAAAAGGTCTGCAAAAAGGAATTTCAGGTTTAAGTAGCGATGCAATTGAATTTGCTTTGGTGAAAATTCAGAACAACGTAATTTTGTGATCTTACCGGTGTGCGGTGGATGAGATTCAGGTAAAATCAAGCCTGAAAGTCTCATAGCCTCAATATACTCGCAACCCAACCAGCGGTCGCTCACAGCTTTTATAAAATACTGATTAGGCAGTGGTTCACTCAGTGGAATCGTCATGACCAGATCTTGTCCAGATGCCGTCACTACCTATCGAATATTAGATTAAAAAATTATTATTATTATTGCATGCCCAATAATTTGAACACCGTGATAATTGGAATACTCACTTGTTTTTTCGTAATTTGAATGTACTCGTAGTGATAAATGAAATTGCTATCTGGATCTTCAATCCACAGCCAAAAAGCTTCTGAATTCTTGCCGTGAATTCTGTCGTTCCACTTGAAATCGGCAATGATTTTTACACGGATCCTCAAAACCGTGCGAGTTATGGGCTGCAAAGTAGCATCGAATTCCAGAGTTGGAAACTCGTCGCAGCATTTTTTAACAAGAGCTGCCCACCTTTGGTTGCGAAGTATAATTCCTATTAAAAATTAAATCAATTACGACAATTTGTTTAAAAAAATTACAATAATTAATTTTTAATAATCGAACCGATTTCTTTGACATCCATTTCCCGCAATCTTCCAACAGTAAGATCGCGTTCTTCAATTTTTACAATAACTTCAAATGGCAAACAAACAAACTGGCGAAGAGCACTCATGTGATCCCATTGTTGTAGCTCCATCATCTTTGCCATCCCGAGCACTCGACTGGCCATGATCGCGTTATTTTTACGAAGCATCATTTCAAACAGAGCTCTACATATACGCACTGCATTCTACAGAGGAAATGGCACTGACTTACAGAAGAAAATTTTAAAGTAAATAAATTTACGTTTAACACTCTTACCTGCGTGATGTACGCTTGATCTGACAGCAAGGAAAACGACTTGACTCTTCCTCTCGAGAGGAAAGTCTGAATCAAAATGTTTACTTTTCCATGTATATTTTCCTTCCCTCCTTGTGGTATAACTTCGCAATTTTCTGATTGCAGCTCCTCCAATTCTTCCATTTCATCATCTCGTACTTTGAGTTGTTCAAATTCTTGAGAACGAGATACCAATCCAAGAATGTCTGCCTCAGTCATTATCGGCTTCATCAAATCGTTAAATATTTCTATCGTATCGTATTTCAAATAAAAGTAACTTGCAGTTCTTCCTAAATCTGAGCACAAAAAAATATTATTTAAATGTATAATGTCAGTGTTTACGATACTAATGAAACGTTCGCTGAATTTAGAGACAATGCAAACCTGTAGCATTCAAGTCACCAGTGGCAGTATTATATCGGATCATTTTGGCCTTGTCAAGCGCCATGGCTGTATTGTGTATAAACTCTCTTCGTTTTTTCTCCAAATTGGGATCATCCAGTATTGTCTGATATTCTATGCCGTAAGCCAAATAATTCAATCTCATTCGTACAAAAAGGTATGTGTAACTCAGCCATTGGACGGCTTCCTCGACGTTTGATACTGTACCCAAGACTATCTGTCAATTTTCAACACATTAAAATACATAAAATATTACTTCAACAAACTTGAATAAATTTACGTACTTCAGCATTCAAATTATCAGTCAAATATTTCAGGAAGCTGCTCTCAATGGGAAACTGATTGGTCAAAAGGGACAAGTAATGCGACAGCTTGTCGTGAGATGTGATGATAACTGCGTGTCCAGATGTATCGAATTGCGGTCTGCCAGCTCGACCAAAAATTTGTAAAACGTCAAGTATACCCAAATCCACGAAAGATCCATGTTTTGAATCGTAAATTTCAGTTCCCTAAAAAGTAGAGTGATACATACATATTATTAAAAAATAATTATTTATAAAGTTTTAGGTAACACTGTCCAATAACTTACTCGAATTATCACAGCATGTGCTGGTAAATTAACACCCCAAGCAAGCGTTGATGTACAAACAAGAACTTTGATTACTCCTTCTGCAAAGTATTTTTCAACTAAATTTCTGAAAAATAAAAATCACATTAATGAGTGCTTTAAAAAAAATTAATAGCACACAAAAAAAAACTAGTTTCGTACCTGTCAGTGCGTAACATTCCTGCATGATGCACCGATAAGCCGTGCTCAAACAGTTCACCAAGATACTTATTGGGAGATCTGGCAAAAGCTTTGTGTGCCAGCTTAGAGCCTTCCTCAGACAGGAAAAGGGCATGAGTTCCATTTTTGAGTGACAATTCTTTTAGAACATTTGCCGTTCTAACTGTTGCGTTTCGAGCATGAACGAAAACCATTACCTACAGAAATATTAAACAGTCATGAAATTATATTTTTCGAATCTGTGAAAGTATAAAAATATTTCCCACCTGATATCCTTCGCGAACCATTTCGATCACTTGATTGTAACACACGAGATCCATATCGCTCATTTGCTGCATTGGCTTGATTGCTTTGACGCCAATAAAAGTCTGACTAAGAGGTACAGGTCGGAATCGTTGATCAAAGTAAAATAGTCCCTTGTACGGGTTTACCCTCAAAAATCGTGCAACATCAACGTAATTCGGCAATGTAGCCGACAAACCTACGATTCTAATCATACTTTGAGATGATTCAACCTACCAAAACATAAATATGATTAGTAAACGTTATTCTATTCGATTAACGAGACTGAGTGTATATTACACCTACCTGTCTCAGAGTGCGAGCGACAAGAGCTTCAACGACGGGTCCACGATCTCCGTGAAGCAAATGCACCTCATCTATGATCAACAAACGGACAATGTGTGTCAGTGCAACGTCTCCAGTACCCTTGCGCGTCACGACATCCCATTTTTCTGGCGTAGTTACAATCATTTGCGTCTGCAATATTTCAGCTTTTGTTAGCTGCATGTCTCCCGTCAATTCTCGTACCGCGATACCCAAGCCTCCTAGTCTGCAAAAAAAATGTTAATATACAAGATTGTATCGACTGATATTGCAATTGAATATATCGTATGATTTACCTTTTACTAAAATTAGCGGTCATTTCAGCGGCCAAAGCTTTCATCGGTGCAATGTAAACTATTTTGAAATCATTGGTTTTCATAATACCATTGTCTATGTACAACTTTATTTGATGCACTATCGTTAACAACGCGACATTTGTCTTTCCAGCACCAGTAGGCGCGCAAATAAGTAGATTTTCATTTGTGTGATAAGCAGCATCAAAAACTATACTTTGTATTCTATTTAATGATTCCATGCCCTTGAATGCCATTTGTCCAATCTGGAGTAATCATGTAAAGCGTTAAAGATGGATTATACAAAGTTCCTTTTGATATTTCAATTGAACACCAACCTCATCCAAAGACGATATTTTAACAAGCTTGTTCCCAACTGTTAAAGGTTCCATGATTGGAACGGGAATGTCTACTTGCTCGCAAAGTTGAGAATCTTTTCTCCTAACGTTTTCAGGCAAGATTAATTTTTGACCTGATACATAGCCTGAAAATAAAAACATAAAAAATCATGATTTTATTAGCCCCTAAACTAACTTCATTAATTAAGTGTTAACATACCAGCTGAAGCTGTCGCATTCAATTTTGAATCAAACACAAACGGGTATACTTCACGAGCAACTATAGGAGCAATGATTCTATTCTTTTTAAACAGTGGCTCTGTTTTTGCAGACAGAGCTTCTTGTCTTTTTAATCGCAGGTCCATGGGATTAAACTCTTCTTCTTCCTCTAAATACTTACTCTCAAACTTACTAGCTACCTTTTGTAATTTTTTTTCTTCTTTGCGCACTTGTTTCTTCAGTTGTTTTTCTTTTTCCGAATGAACTATCACTTGCGACGCTATTTGAGGCTGCTTTTCTATAGCTTCAAAGTAACGAGTTTCATTGATTAGAAGACTGCAATGAATTGAAAATTTATAAAGATTAAATTCATTTACCATTGAAAGTTTTTGACAGCTTTTGGGCACTCTGCCAAGCCACAATATCTTTTTTATGCTCTATTAAGTACTCTATAAATTCGATGCTGTCACACCCTAAGAAATCAAATAAGTCAGCCTGAATCGAACTTGGAGGTGATTTCAGCTTTTCAAACGTGATACTCGAAAATTCGTCATATGACATCACTGTCTTATACTTCTCAAACGCTTTTTTCATACCTTGATTCACTCTTTGTCTATCAAACTGAAATAAAAATAAGGTATGAGATATATTTTTTTCCATGAAAACCTTATATTAACCACGTACTTCTGTTTTTTTTGTAGCTACTGTTTCTGTTTGTGACATTTTCATCAGTTTATCAAATTTTTCAGTTATAATACTATCCATGTTTGGTTTACTCATATCATGAAGCATGTCTGTTCTAGGCCAATCAACCTTACCATCAAAGGAATGGTAAGGTATATTTGCGCCAAAAATTTCGGGATTGAGATCATTATCTGTTTTATCACCTTTCATACTTAGAATAGAATCCAAATCATCCTCTGGTATCATATTCCTGATTTCCAACACAATCTGTAATAAATTATGCATCATTAATTATATTTGAAAATTCTTGTAATCCGAAGTTATTTACGTGTGTAAGATCTCTTAAAGCTCTTTGATCAGATGTACCAAGCAATTGCTTTAATTCTTCCTTTGTATGCTGACTAACAACTTTCTCCTTAATTAACATTTTAAGTACGTAGAGAGATAATTCATTAATTATCTCAGCAATTTGTCCCTCTATATATCAAATAATNAATTTTTCATTGTACCAGTGTGGTGTACACTTGATATTGAATGTTTTTAAGCTTGAGTAACCGCTTATTATTAACTCACACCAATTGACTTGTTCTGACGCTAATAAGCTTCAATGCCACCATAGAAACACCACAACTTGCTTTGAAAAAAAAAAAAAAAAACAATCCCATCAACGCCACGATACCGATTTAAAACGATATTTCGATCTAATCACCACGACGATGTAATCGCTATGGAAATAACGGTTAAGTGTTTGATCGGCATAACCGAGCATCGATCATCACTCGCGCAATCAAATGAAGCAATTATTACTCAATGCTTATCGAGGCACAGTCACGGCAATGCGGGCGCCACTCGGTCTCGATTGATCACTTTGAGAAGCAGTGCACAGCTGTCTATATATCTACACGCGTATAAATTAACAGCACGTTTATGTACATGTATTGCAATATATGCACACGAGAGTCTTTTCATTCTCTAACCGATCACTGAGTTTAAAATTGAATGTCGAATGTTAATTGACGGTGCTAGGGAGGCTAGCGATTGCTGAGATTTTTTTTTTTTTTTTTTTTTTAATGTATGCTTTTATGATTATATTATACTTATGACCTGCTTGGTCTGCTAGTTTATGGTTAACAACTAAGGAGCGGTAAAACAGACACTCGCACAAAACATGGTTTTATAGATGTGTTTTTATGTTTTAGCAGATAAATTTAAGCATCAATAAGACGTTTCCTCGTCACTTCTGAAACTTATTGACAGATTAATTTTTTTTTATTTTCATAGCTTTTACCGTGATATCGAACTTTTGTGGTAGCCGGTCGAAGATAAACGCCGATGACGATACGTGTATAACACACGAGTAGTAGACGGTCGTTCCTCGAACTACTCCAAAGTGGTAAATAAATTACGATTATTTATCGACATATATATTATATACCTGTATATTCATAAATGTATTTAAATATTGTCGTTCGATTGATATGTACTATTTGCAACCAATCCAACAAAATGATTATATTTGGAGTAACAACTGCAAGCGTCCCGTTGAAATTAAATTCATGTGGCCGTGCCTAAAAATCATGAACATTCAACCACCCAAGCGATTCGAAATCAAAACAAAGCTTTACTTTTCTCCCGCATGCGATCACAACAAAAGAAAAAACAAAACTTTAACGTATCTACAAAAAAAAGTCCAACGACTGCACGCGCTGTATTGGCAAGCAATATTTACTATGTATTTTTGCATGCATGATGATGTGTCCTTATGAAATTTAAAAAAATCAGCCATAAGCATGCTTAGGACTTACGAAAGTATGGATATTGTTATGCGAAATCAAGAGCGAGTAAATGCATCTATCCTTGGCTGCAAATGTTTTCATAGGTTTTGCAATCACAATAAAAAAAGTGCAACCAGCATACACCGTTCCGGGAGGGATGAAATAGTGATTAACGCGGTACATTATGTATTAACTGGGGGTGCATTTTTGAAGAAACAAAAAAAAAAAACGTTAACTCAAAAAAAAAAAAAAAAATCATAGAAAATTTTTCTTATCCAACAGCTTGTAACATGCCTGATCCCGAAGATCTCACGAGCAAGGCAAGGATCAAAAGGGTCGTTCTACATAATGCAAAAATATAACAACAACAAAAGTACACCTGCGCGCTTACGCATCCCTGTCGCATATAAAACACACACTTAGCTGAGAATTCAGTCATTTTTTTTTAAATTTAAGGTCGCGCTAATGTTTTGGATTTCATTGAAATTACTGTGCGCGTCTCGATGAGTTTGTATTGAAAAAATTGCACACGCCGCTTGTATACCGCAAAAGCTATAATCGTATCACCGTGAACGTTTCGCAATTAGTAAATTTTCCACGTTGACGTTGAACATATTAAGTACACGTGTGTTATACCTAAATATTGATGATGAGAGGTGAGGAAAAATTGATTATTGAACGTTTTGTTTTACCTACTACAAACATTTGAGTTTTCGAAGACTTTACCATACCATTGTCGTCTCGATAAATCGACTATATATCATATTGTATACTGCCTTCTTCTTCCTTTTATATGACATGTATACACGTATCACACTCGTTATTGTATACTTTTCATTCATGTTGACGTAGTGAAAAGCTAATAGCTGTTCGTTTTTTATTAATTTTTTTTTTTTTTTTTTTTTTTTTTTTTTTTTTT